CAGATATAAGTTAAGTTATAAGCATTGGAAATGGAAGTGGTACAGTCGAACCTCTTTAGCGGTCAGTCCGGGAAAACAACATATGACCGGTCAATAGAGGTTGCCCGATACATAGAKGTCATGTTTGTAGTTATTAAAAAGGAGAGCCGATTTTCGGGAAATATTGTCAATGACCGCTTAATGGACGGTGACCGCTTAATGGAGGGTGACCGCTTAATAGAGGTTGACCGTTGCATAGAAGTCATGTTTATAATCCACTGTATTTTCACGCCTTTTCAGACGATAAACTAAGTTTTGAGAAGTTCCCGCATCGTGAATCCAATCAKAAATAACSTATTTTTAGTTTTTATTTTGCATTAGTTACGAGTCCTTAAAAAGCAGCTACGTTGAATGYATTTATTTAGCTGRATAGCATTWAATCTCTTTTAAGGTCGGTTCGCATGTCAGAGATTCCATCCTGTTATTACCATTGCCTAGAAGTGATAATGCGCACTGGCTCACGACTGCGCCTGCTCGCGCGGTAACCGCAGCTGCCCACAATATCAACCTTTACTCGCCGGCTCGCAGAAGCGCCATGCTTATTATTCCTGCTGTGAAATAAAGAATGAYGTAAAATAATGACTTGATAATAGAGCAAACGCAGGAAAACCATGAAATAAAATCAWAYTAAATACTAACAAATTTATAGCGGCTATTTAGAGACAAATTGTCAGTATCGATGAACCAGAACGCAATAAAAATRAATCCACATTTTTAATTCATCTTGCACAGGCACTCAGGCAGCCCATCCTCCTAAATCCRCTCATGTATTATTACTTACTTATCTGGACGTCCATCCGCCTGACGAGCGTGCACCCTGTTGAATTCACGAGGATTGTCGAGCGAAAATGGAGAACACCAAACTGGTTTGCCACTGCCTTCATGAAAAGCTTTCCCTATGCGCATTTGACACCTGGAAATGAAGTCAGAATGGAATAGGAGTAGTTTAGAGTAATAATTATATAGAATAAACACGTGATCAAAACTGAAGTAAGCAAGAATAAAGGAAACAACAAGCAAACGACCGTTGAAGGCAACAGGTAAGAAAATGAACAAAGAATTTACAAGCAAGCAAGCAGTTATATAAGCAGGCAAGCAACCAACAGGCAAGCAAGCAAGCAATCAATCAAGCAGTCATACAAGCAGGCAAAATCACAAGCAATCAAGCAAGTTGTCGCACAAATGAAGCAAGTAAACTAACACAACATACGAATAGGAAACCAAAATTTCAACCACCCAAGAATTTCAGATATTGCATTCTCACCTCAAAGGCGGATCTCTATCATAAAAACTAAACAAAAGTGGCGTCAGACTACGAGCCATCTCATGTTCATCGAACTGRCCAGCGATTTCTTGCGAGACGCTTTCYCTCTTGAATATTAATGGRATTCCTGTGTTGTTTATCATCCAATATGGCGCGTATAAAGATATCTATAAGCATAATATAATAAAATATTGGATGAATGGATTAAAAACGACTCTATAACTGTTTAGTCGTGAACATGGATAAAAACGATGAAAATGATTCGCAAAAGATGTCTGTCTGCGAGTGAACAGATGAAATCGATCGACAAAAGAAGACCGTTCACTTTTGGACGAGAAGAAAATTGGCAAACGATGAAAGTTTACGTTTGGACGGATAAAAACGATTCACAAGGAATCGCCGTTAACGTGTGACTGTTCATAAGACCTTCAGAAGGTGGCCGTTTTTCCTGAGTTTACGTGCAGGATTCATGGAAAGGGGATACGTTTACGTAACGTAATAAAATCGTCATTAACGCGTGTTGACCGTTTTCGTGCGTTAACGTACAGGATTCGTGGGAGAGGATACGTTTACGTAACGTGATGACTACGTACCCGTAGCGCTCCACCTGGTTTTACGGTAATAAGTAGATTCAACCAAAGTGGTCTTCCACGTGTATCTCTGAGTTCAACGTGCACGATGACCTGGTTCACCAGATGGTGTCGCTTCATGTAAGGAATACGGACTGTCTCACAGCTCTCAAAGTTCTCTATTGCAAACGCCAAGTCGAAATGTTTGTCTGGATCGGCCTAAAATAAACAACAAAAACAATGAAAATACAAATATGTACGAGTAGCACTGAATACGCATGCAACACCWGCATCTGCCAAAATAGGAAAAATAGGGAAAACGGAGCGCATTGCATGTACAGTCAACTCTCGCTATTACGAACAMCCTCGTAGCGAGAGTCCTAGGGAGTTACTTTCAGTAATTTCGTTGTATTTTTCGCCGGGGATTCAGTATTTCCTGTCCGAAAATTGAGGTTTCCGTAGTGCGGACATGTTTGTCTCCTTTGTTATCATTTCTGTGGAGTGCATATCCTGCGTGCATACCCCCCCCCCCTGAAAAAATCTGGAATCAGGGATACACCGCCGAGGGTCCCCCACCTACAGGGTTGTGTTAGCAACAAACAGCAACAACAAACGACCAAAAAACAAAAACAAAACGAAACAAAACAACATACATACGAACAATAGCCGAGTTTAGATATTTTGGTTCAGTGACCATGCACAAAAGAATTGCAGACGAGGCTCCGGGGAAATAAAGAATAAWACGATATTATACGCTCTTTGATTGGTCATTTTGAAGTGTGCACTTCAAAATAACTCTTTGCAATATTTAAAAAAATAAAATTATCAATGGATAATCTTGATTTAATATTTATTTCCCCTCGTCTGCAATTCTTTTGAGCATGGTCACTGAACCAAAATATCTAAACTCGGCTATTACCGAGTATAAAGGCACTGATCTTCCAGCTTTAATATTCCCTCTGAGATCTGACTTTTTGACGCTATACGTAAGATCACATGGAAGAAGATTGACAAGAACCAAGGGGGCGAGTATAGAGATGCAGTGAGCTGGTTGAGGAGCGACTTTGAGTTTCTTGTTCGGTAAGACATCAGTCATTGGATCGTCATCTGGATAGCCTTCGCGTTGAACCGCTACACAAAACCTACATGTGATACAGTGTGAAAGATTTCTTAACGCTGTGTTGGCTAATAGTCTCCTTCACGGTTCCCTGCGCCATCTTGAAAGGTAGCCGTGCCTTGGCATCGAAGTGAGACCTTCTCTCACACCTACAGACAATTATTCACAGGTATCTATCATTTCACGCTCAACGGTTGTCTCGCTTCGATGCCAAGGAAACCGCCAAGAAGACTATTGTATTGGTCAATGTTTCTTTAGGGCACACTTCTGTCAAGTGTGAACAAGCTTCTGCTTCGGTTTCTGCTTATGTCATAGTGTGAACTGTCCCTTAATAAGCAATGTGTGCCGACGCCATTTTGTAGTGTTGTTCGTTATTATCTTTTCCTTGTGAAAACGTCGAAACTACTTCTGCTTTTGCGAAACTACTTCTATTTTTGCGAAACTACTTCTATTTTTGCGAAAATACTTCTATTTTTGCGAAACTACCTCTATTTTTACGGAAAAAAGCAAAAACGGCTTAGGAGGACTGGTTTAGCAGACATAAGAATGTACTACAAGGACTACAACTCCCATCATGCTTTGCTGCACAAAATGACGTCGCTGTACATTGCTTTCTTCGAACCTTTTTTTTAAATGTTAAAACGTTGCTGTACACTTTTTAAGTCTTTACCTGAATTTACTGCCATTTCCAATGGGATGGCATTCTTTAGCATATCCAGCTGTCGTAAAAGCTTTGGTGACACCTTGCCATTCAAGTGCTTCAGAACTAAACCCTACCCCTACCCCATGAGGTCTGGCGTAGATTTTCCACGTGACTGCATGAAGTGGAACTGTCAAAGTGTGCTGTGGSTGGATTACTGGAAGAGTGAAGGACCCTAGGAATATAAAGAGTGACACGATAAACATTATTCATTTTTCAGAAAGACATATTTGAATTCATTTGTTTGACTTTGTAAAAGAGAATATAACTTTTTTTAGATATACAAAATCATGAAGTGTTATCTTTCCTAAAAGCGGAGATATASGTATAGCTTGCGCGACAAGTTGAGAGATTTTGCATCTTGTAAGACTTCCGCCATCTTGATACGCTTATCAATACCATAATGCATTTCGCTAAAACAAACATGACGTCATCAGACGAAAGGATCATGGGAAAATCATCACCGTACCTTGGTAAGAAGTGTGTCCTTGTAGTTTGATTTCCAAAGGTAAATCCATTTTGTTGTTGATACTGAGCGCTGACTGGACTGTTACAACTTTGCGGGCTCCWCCTTCGAGAGTYACGTTGAAMACRATACGYACTGGCTGGACATCGCTTGCCTGAATGGAATAAATCAAAATACGTTCAGAAACGAGAAAAACAAAGGTGAAAGTTACAACGGAAGGAAGAGAAGAAGGCAAGAAAAAAGGAAGAAAGAAGGGAGGGAAAGAAAGAAGGAAGGA